ACAGATCCAGAGAACTCGCATGCGATTGTGTGTAACATGTATATCTTTTACCTCTGTACATTTTGAATAAGTTAGCAATAGCAATACAATTATATGAGTCATAAAATGTTTTTATCTATTATCTTTGTAAATATGTTCTTTCTTATCTTCACTCTGTAAATACTATACACTATAAAAAGGTCTATTTATAGGATAAGCCTACTTATATTCAATCAAATGTCGTTCACCTTTCGTCTATATTACAGATGAATATAATGTTTTATTTAGGTAAAAGGCCTAGGTAAGAGGGTTTCCCCTCTGTAACTAATATACAATATAGTAAGCTATATTTGTTTTAATAATAGGAAAGCTTATTAATATAAAATCAAACGTTGTGAAGTTTTGTCTTTAAATACTAGTATTAGACTGTGATCATTACAGAATCAGTTCAATAACTCTGACAGGTAAACGACCCGGTGCCTTGAACCATAAACAGTGTCGGTTTAAGCTGTAGTTTGTAGGGCATGTAGCTCTTATGGTGGGTTACTGTTCTTGTGTCCCTACGCCCTAGCGTTTTGTGTTAAATATTAAAACAATATAAAAATCCTTCCCCCATTCATCCTAAATGATGGATACAGTATGGCTAGTACAAACCCTCCCCCATGTATCATTCTGAATTAAGAATAATAAATATTGAAAATGTACAAAGTATACGTATGCATGTGTGTGCGTGTGTGTGTGTTTGTGTGTGTGTGTGTGTGTGTGTGTGTGTGTGTGTGTGTGTGTGTGTGTGTGTGTGTGTGTGTGTGTTAAAATAAGGAATTGCATCGGACATTATCTTTGTCACTGATGCGTCAAGTTTGGAAATGTCTACCATTAAATATTTTGAAAGCTTTACTGAGGCCTTGAATGTTGTAACCTTGATCAAACAACTTCTGAGCAAGAGTCGTATGACGCTCTTTGAAATATCGGTAGAAAGAGCACGCTCGATTGTACCTGGAAAGTGAAATGTAGATACCAAGGACTGGAGCTTCAGGAATATTGCCCGACATAAAGGGAAAGTCGACAATTGGAAAGGTGTAGTTATCCCTCTTGTGGAGAGTGTTTTGTTCTTTTATCTTTAGGCATTGATATTAATATGAAACAGATGAGGCGGTCTCACTGGTCTTTATAGTTCAGACGGATAAATCAGTGGAAAGGAATTGGCTATTTGATGGTTATTGAACGATTTCTAATCATCGATATACCCGAAGCTTAAGTTTAACTTCTTGGCCAAATTATCTTGTTTTGACTTTGCAAATCCGAGGAAAAATTCTGATTCATATTAACAGAGAAAAGATCAGCAAGAAGGGGAGCGCAGTTGATGCGTATGAGGATGCCTACTTCTTGCCTAAATGTCTTACCCAAATTCATACATAGATGTTATCAATGAGGAAGTATAGCATTTCACATATTGTTTTCTCAGAAAACCTCAGACGGCATTTGCTTTCGTTTTTGACAAATTAACCTGAACCTCTGAAGATAGATATGTAAATATATATGGTATCCACGTTTTGTAACAAAAAAACCTACAAAGTAACAAGGCTTACTTAATTTAATCTTGACTTTTGTTGTTATCTCCGTAACTTACGAGATCATCGGATAATGATAGTAACGCTATATGGGAGAGGGTATATATATAACGGGAAATTGTATCGGAAAAGCGCTGTTTAAATCCCGACACCAGCTCAACTGCTCATTAAAATAATAAATATACTTTTTCATCATTGACAAAATTACACCTGCTTCAACATGACGTATATTTAAAAATATTTGATATGAAAATGGTCCCAATATTGCACTATGGTTCCCATGTCCGGGGTCAACACCAGAAAGCTTATAAATAGAAACCATACGTATATTGGCAAATCGTCAACACCCAGCAACATGGTTCGAGGTGATTGTGGGCGTTATCCTTTATATCTTTATGCGTATAAAAGTTTTATTGGTTATTGGATAAAGTTGAGTATGTCCGATTGTCGCTATCCAAAGAAATGTTATTATATGATACTTCAGGCAGAAAGTTATGGTAAAATTAATTGGGTCTCAAAATGTATATCTTTATCATTCAGCTTGAGTCTGTTTTAAATACCAGTGCCATCCTCAATCGTTTTTGTAAGAATTTATTTGGCATCTGAAATTTAGTCATGAACAGGATTGGCATAGTCTTCTTGAAAAGGGTAGTAAATCTTTCGTCAATAATTTAGAGTGGCGCTTGCTCGGTTTAGACGTTTTTCACATCAGCTGTGTTTTGAAACTGGGAAATACGCTGATATGCCACTTGACAGAAGACTATCTTGTGTTTGTAAAGCTGGGTATGTGGAGGACGAGTATCATTATTTGTTAGTTTCCCCCTGTTATAGCAAGTCGCGGGTGGATCACTTACCAAAGAAATATTGTGAATATCCGACAAAACAAACAAATCAATATCATTATGTCTACAACTGATTCTAAATTAATTAAATGTGCAGCTATTTATATCTATCAAGCGATGTCACGCCGTAGTACATTAGTGTGTTATATTTAGAAAACATACATAGTCGGATGTAACAAGTTGACAGTTTTTTCACTGAAACCGTTTTTGTCGAACACGGAACCAAGTTGATCAAATGCCCACGAGAGCGGCACAAGTCGCTATCCGGAATTACACGAGTGGTCATCAATGTGAAATCCGGTCGCGATTATTCCGAAAACCCACACTCCGGAAGCTATCTGTTTAAATTGTGTGTAATTAAAACGACCTGCATCCGCGCCGAGTTCAAACGCTACCGTCTGGATTAACGGTATTTCTTTATGTTTGAATTCTTTGAAATATGACCCCGTTTAAACCTTACTTTATCGAGTCTGGACACGCCATTGTTTCCGAAGCTATCGTTATCAGGGGTAATTATGCCAGATGATACATTGATGTTGACTATGCTCAGCAGTTTAAAGTTGTTGAATAATTCATTACCATTTAAACTTTAACACCTACGCGGGGGTATGTCACGGCTGTCTGTCACTCGAAGGTAAGCCTTTGTCACGTCTACCCGTCAGTTGGTGAGTGAGTGAGTGAGTGAGTTGGGTTTAACGCCGCTTTTAACAGTATTCCAGTTATATGCGGCGTGTCAGCTTAATGGTGGGAGGAAAGCCCGAAGTGATGCAGGTCTCAGACGTTTACCACTTCGGTAAAAACCCACGAGCACGGGTATGGTGCTGACAAACCTAGAAACATAATCGGGGCGAACCGGGATTCGAACCCACAATCATAGGTTTCTGGCGTGCCCAAGGGACGCAACTCTGCACAGCGAATCGCGGCGCCTTAGACGACTGGGCCACCCGTGCCCCCCCCTCAGTTGGAGGTAGACCTCTTTCACTTCTGTCTGTCACTCGAAGGTGTGGCATGTCTGTCCGTTACGCGGAGGCCCGCCTCTCTCATTTTCGCTCGTCATATGACTTAGGGTCAACCGACGCGATGCGCAGATTCCATGATTGGCGAGAGTTTGCATTCTAGCTCCTGACAATATGAGTTGAAAATATTTACTATGCCATAATAATTGTTCTTTCAAATTCATTAAATTTTTTTTTATAATACATTTAAAGACCGTAATTAAAATGTATCTAAATGATTGATTGACTTCAATCTAAATTAACAGAAGGATGTCTTAAGGTGCCGTGTTGAATGGGTATTGTAGTGGCCGCTACACGGGGTTAAGTATCTGTGAAAGACAAATATATTTCATTACATGAGGACAAGATTTGCTTTGACTGTGAATGACTAATTATTCTATACATTTTAAGCAAAACAATTAATAATATTAATAAATAAACCCAAATATAATATATATATACAATGAATAATATCAAACAAAAAGTATGAAAGTCATCTTGAATGAGTTAATAAGGAAAATTTATGTTGAAGGTAAAAGTAATTAAAAACAATTATATTTCTTTTTATGAAACCACAGCCTTATTTAACCTAATTTCTGGATACGTGAATACTGTCTTCACCGTGCCTTGCACAAGTGGTGATAGCACACTAACACGTTAAGGCATGTATTAATAGGGTATTGCGATACAACTTCAGAGACAGTGATCATGGGCTTCAATTTTCAAGACTGAGAGGCAAGCGATGTAACTATTCGATGACATTTGACGATTTTAATTTATTGAATAATTTATTACACAGATACAGTTCCTATTCACGTTCTAAGGTTATTCTTGGCCTCAAGTGACGTAACATGAATTGTTGATGCTGTCTCTTCCAGAGTTAGAAAGGACGTAAATAACAGAAGCCATTGTAGGAATCCGACATTAACATGTGTATATAAATAACTATCAATTAATGGTGATACCAAGAGTCAGCTAATAGGTGAACGTATGCTACCCCAAAGATGGCACAAAGACGGCACATGCAAGTCAAGTCAATTGTGTACTTGATCCGTGAAGATCCGGGGTAGAATAGGTCTGCAGCAACCCATTCTTGCCGTAAGAGGCGACTAACGGGATCGAGTGGTCAGGCTCGCTGACTTGGTTGATGAATGTCATCGTATCCCATTTGAGTAGTCCGATGCTCATGATATCAATCACTGGATTGTCTAGTCCAGGCCCGATTATTTACAGACCTCCGTCATATAGCTGGAATATTGGTGAGTGCGGTGTTAAACAACAACGAAACAAACAATTGTTTACCTGAAAAACACACACACGGGAACATGCGGTACATCAATTGTGGAAATGTCTTCACATGTCTACCATACAACTTTTTGACAGCTTGACATAAGCCTGAAATGTGGTAACCCTGATCAAAAGTCGTATGGCGCTCTTTGAAATCTCGGAAGAAAGAGCATGGTTGATTGTATCTAAAACAAATTGAAATGTAAACACTAAAGGCTGGAGCTTCTGGAATATTGCTGGACATGGTTTCAGACAATTTCCCAAACAACCGTCAAAGTATTTGTCATATGATAAAGTTATTTTGTGTTGGCAGGTGACGACTCCATGATGGCGGGGAATCGAAATAAGGTGTTTCCCGCAATGAGCGTTAAACGTGAGCCCCCGCCTGTCACTGACGCAAGTCGGCGGCGCGCCACGATAACCCGGAAGTGGGATAGCTTGGAGAAAGAACTCAAGTCCAACCAAAATGATACTTCTGGTGTTGCGGTCAATGTAAGTCAAATTGATATTAAGATGAAGGTTCTTAAGCAAACCTTACCATCACACTCTTGTCTCCATTTGATTATATGTGTAATTTCTTACTTTTTAAGTTGATATTGATATACATGTAGCTCCGCAGACATCTTACAAAGCGTATGTGTAGTTCCCGCGTAACTGTGCAGGCCTTTTACAAAGTACCAACTGAGTTTTCGGCGGAGTCTTCGTGGTAATTTTGCGAAATAAGGTAAAACACTTATGCGATGTAGTGTATCGTCCTCAAACGATATAATATCCTTTCATTATTTCTTTAACGTTTTCGAATAATTCCTATTTTTTTCAAAGTCCAGTAGTTGTCTGGTTGGATAATGCGTGTGTATTAATCTATCAGCAATATGTTGCGATTGTATCTGTGTAAACGTGACAAGACGCGATGGGGAAGCAAACCTTAGGTTTATCTCATCTGGTCCTCAAAGCGATGACAATTTCACTCATGGCTTCACCACTCAGGAAAATATCGACCTGTGAAGATCCGGGTTAGAATAGGTCTTCAGCAACCCATTCTTGCCGTAAAAGGCGACTATGCTTGTCGTAAGAGGCGACTAACGGGATCGGGTGGTCAGACTCGCTGACTTGGTTGATGCCTGTCATCGTATCCCAATTGCGTGGATCGATGCTCATGTTGTCAATCACTGGATTGTCTGGTCCAGACTCGATTATTTACAGACCGCGGTCATATGGCTGGAATTTTGCTGAGTGCGGCGTTAAACAACAAACAAACAAACAAACATGAAAATATCAAGCTTGTCAGGTCATTTAGTGATATGAAATGACATTGGACAAGAAAAGCCAAATCTCCGCTTTGGTGTTACTTGTGAATGAATGGTGAAAGTATCTCGCCAATGGTTCGGGGTTTGCATCATTCATTCAATGTGAGGTTCAATGTATTTTGATGGACATTTCTGTCCGAATTTTGATCAAATTCAAGGGATATGTCTTCAAAATGCTTTTGAATATGTATCCCCCACAATGAGGCGAGGTGAGATGAAATGAGGTTTAACGTTGCGTCCAAGATTATTGCACTTATATACCGATTTGCATGCAGGTGTGTGTGTGTGTGTCTGCTTGTACCAGTCCGGACTAATGCCGATTAATAGTGCTAGCCCACTGAGCTACCATGCCGAAGTTTAACATGAATATCCCACTCAGACACAGTATACTGACTCCAAGCCGACCAGTCCTTGTTTTAGACCCTTTATGTCGAGCGCCAGACAGGGTACCATCTTTTAACGTCTTTTGGTATGAACCCCGGACCTTCCGCTCCCCGGGCGGACGCTCTTCCACTAGACCACTCTGCGTTTGCCATGTTGCTAGTGACACAGTGGCACTTTCGCATCCATATTTATATCTTCGGTCAACGATGTTAATATGTTTATTAGTGAGTAACAAGTCTAACACTAACACTGGCATTGCCGGAGAAAATAGAGTGTGCATTTTATGTGACTCGGTGGTGTCATATTATATTTTCCGCTGTGAACCATTTCATTATTATAGATTATTGTATATACCACAAATATTTAAAATTTCCAAACGTATTTACATTTAAACGCCTATTTGGTACTTTCAATCTTAAAGAATTAAAATGTTTGTCAAAATTTATCATTTAAATATTCAAAAAGTTACAAACACAAAATGTATTTGCCATTCTTATGTCATGCCAGTGAATAATAATGTTCTATTTTGTACAACCCGTGTTGCCCTTTATGGAGAAATAAAAAGACAAATGTCTCCTCTTGGAGAACAAACGGTGTAATCCCACCACCAAAACCTCACGACATTTGATCCTTAATTCTAAACAGCTATTTGTTCAGTCGCTAACTAAACAAATGTATTACCATATAAATGATTCATTTGATGTGTCTCCAAGTATGAAATGATGATTTCGCCTTGCTTTGTAACAGCTGTTGTTGGCTCAAGATATTCTCTTTAATGTAATCATGTCCAACGAAATCCCCATGGTATCATTCAGCAAGCACTGGTTATTTGTTCTCTATTTGTCAATTACACGAAATCGCGTTTATCGATTGCACCTGCCATATACACCTGTACCTGCCCGCGGGGGTCTCTCACCTGTAATATACCATTTACCTTACGAATATCCTTTAATTGGTATTGATTGATTTGCCGACCTTATTTTTTAGCCTTCCGTGTTTTGCTGACATGGGAGTCGACATATAACATAGATTCTGAAGTAATTCTTTAATATTTAATGTTGATTCCACACTGCTCATAAATAACCCATGACGTGAAACTGTATACGTAGTGTCGACTTTTTCGATGTTTTTCTTATCATAGCATCTGTAGGAGTCTCTGGAAGACTAGGAATACATTATTCTGTGTGAAGCCCGCGTGTAACGCCCGATGGCATGTTGACAATGCCTGTTTGAGTTTTTCAGAAAATGTTTTTTAAACATCGCCTACACTTTATGTACATATCCTTAAGGGATAATATGCATTGCAGTGAATATAGCTCATCTGAAGGTTTATCCGAACCAATGATGCGCGTCGTCCGTGGTCCGACCGTTAGCTATATGTATAATGTTTTCCAAAAATATTATCTCCAAAATCCCAAGTAAGCCGAATCTGAGACCTTGCATGGAGGAAACACTGGATTAATATCTCCCAAGGTGGTAGTCATAGTGCAAAATATAGTTCATGTTCATGGTTCATTTCTGCATGTATCGTGACATATGGCTGTTATGTATCCCTCAACATTATGTTGCAAGTGACACCTTCAACCACTACACAACCAGTCATTCATATATGAAAATTCTCACGAGAAACACTGATGAAAACAGGAGAATCAGACACGGCAATTCTTCAATTTGGGTGTACCAACAATCCTTCTAACTGTAAAAGTATGCCCGTTATGAAAGCCAATCTTCCAAGCTTACAGCAAAGTAAAACTATAACAAATGTTTATCTGAGCGTAAACCTATACCCAGCACAAATTCTTTGTCCATCTAAATACTCACAAAATATAAATACCGTCAGTGTAACAAAACGTCACACACCTTGATGTGGAATAATAATAATTGAAGACCCAAAAATTCAATTTAGCGAATGTGTGCGTGAAAGCCTGTGTTTTTTTATGATATTACAAATGTTAAACATATATGAGGTTAGCTGATGGGACTTATTGATTATATTTATCATCATCATTTTACACCATCTCATACACACCTTAATTAGTCAAACAATTCTTTCTCTAGAACGACATCTGAATTTTTATTCTTGAATTAAATTCTCTCATCATTGTGGCCAATAAATACCAAGGCTGGATCTTACTCTCTGATCAGATTACTTTATCTCACGTTTGTGATGAAGTCTAACTCATTATTATTCAACACGGGATATCATAATGAATCTTTAAAACAGTTTTTACAGTGCATTGACGTCATAGACACAGTTCAAGAATGTCTCTGGGAAGAGGCGCTGAACTGGGCAAACATCCCTTGAGGTTTGTTCAAAGACTATCCACTTATTATTACAAATGCTAATTACTGAATATATCGAAGTAATTAGCTAGTGAAATACTAGACAAGATAAGCCCAAGAGGCCTTGTCTAACCATCTCATTCAGTAATACACTCAGTGCATGTAATTTGTTTGTTGTTAAACGCCGCACTCAGCATTATTCCAGCTATATGACAGCGGTCTGTAAACAATCGAGTCTGGAACAGACAATCCAGTGATTGACATCATGCGCATCAATCCACGCAATTGGGTTGATGATATGCATCAACCAAGTCAGCGAGCCTGGCCACCCGATCCCGTAAGTCGCCTCTTACGACAAGCAGAGTCGCCTTTTACGGCAAGCAAGACCTATTCTTACCCGGATCTTAACGGCTCCAGTGCATATGAACTGTACATAAGAACACTTTGTTAGTAATTGCAGTTGTAAATCATTTGTAGGCACGTTGGTTAAGCTATGAGTGGGTCAGTATGGTTTTTGGCCGCTTTTTGCAATATTCCAGCAATCACGGCGGGGGGACACCAGAAACGGACTTCACACATTGTACCCATGTCGGAAATCGAACCAAGGCCTTCAGCGTGACGAGCGAACACGTTAACCACTAGGCTACCACACCGCCCCTTTGTTAGGCTATGACACACGGACGTTGTTCATCTTGACTCTGTGTGTTCGAGACTTGTTCTTTTTTCTTCTACCTGATGTTATCCATGCTGGTATGCAACGTCAACGCCAGAGAATAACCAGTCTCGATTATACGCCGAAACAGATTCCATTGGGCGTAAAAAGGGAAAACAGCTGTGAAAATCATATGAATGGCAATCAATGATGACACCACGTGTTCGCGTAACTTGTAAACATGTCCATCCCGACCAGTAGCACCCACCAATCATGAGTTTGTAGTGAACTTTTATATTACGCATGCGATGATACAGTAAACTACGGTTATAACGAACTCAAAGGGACCACTTATTTTAGTTCTTTATGACCGTAGTTCGTTATAAGCATGTATACAGCATATATACAACAAATGGCCGGGACTAAAAAATAAGTTCGTTATATCACTCAGTTCGTTATAAGCGTGTTCGTTATAACCGTAATTTACTGTAGTACGACCCTTCTGGTTTGGTTCAGACCAGTTGACAGTCAGTCAAGTTTGATTGAAGGCATTTAGAGCCCACTTTTCTTGCGAACTTAAATTATATTCTGCATATGCCTAATGCATAATGATCCTAGTCATACAGTGTATCCCATATGACACTTATTTAAAAGTCTTGAATTGGCATGTGACTGCAAGCAATAACAGCGACGCTGACCAACCGAGATACCCAATGTAGACGGCTCTTAAGAGTGAGTGAATATGGTTTTACGCAACTTTTAGCAGTATTATTTCAATATCATGGCGGGTAACACCAGAAATGGGCACATACTACCCATGTGGGGAATAGAACCCGGGTCTTTGGCGTTACGAGCGAACGCTTTAA